AAAAGAAAACAATCTCCTTAAAGATATCCAGTGTAATTGTAGCATCAAATTATATCTATATGGCATTATTATGGATTAACTTTCAAATTTCTTTTTATGTAATTTTTATTCGAAAAATTAAAGAAGATTAACAGCAATATGATAAGGATAAATATTTAAATTTAATAATCGACTGGCTTAAAATTTAGAAGGTCATGAAATTATATTCTGTGTAATAGAATGGAAAATATATTAAAACTAAAATATGCTTTAATTTTTAGGAAATAAAAGATATCAGTTGAAGATTCCTTCATTGGTTCAAGTGATGCAGTTTTCACAAGTTATCCATAGAAGATACTGTGGATCATTATATAGGAACAATCTATATATCTTCAGATCTTATAATTGAACATGCAGTGACTACAAGTATAGCTAAAATTCTTTTGAGCGAATGTAGATAATTATTTTTAAATTTATTATTAAATTTAAGGATTAAGTAATGATCTCCCAAAATAGATATAAAGGGAAAGTTTATTCCTGAGGTTATTTAATATAGAGCATAGTTATATTAGATTCAAGAAGAGAGCTTGATCTTCTATATAAATTTTTATTTTCCTATATCATAGTTTCTATTATTAATTTAATTTCATCAATTAAAGTCTTTTTATCTATCATTCTTAAAAAGTCTTAATATTTCTCTAATCCTTTTAACTATTACAATTTCTTAATTTACCTATAGCTTGAATGTTTCGAAGCTAAAGAGTTTTTCATATTCTCTAAGTTGCTCCCAGTAATCATATTTATATTTTAAATAAAATTATCTCCTCCTTTTGTTAAATAAGTAATTAATTTATCTTCATATGATTGATAACCTTTCTTTACACAAGATAAAACATTCTGAGCTTCTTAAATACCTACTAGTGTCTCGATATGTACATATATAGTTCATTCTGTTTTTTTTTTTAAACAGGCACTACATCTGATTTTAATTAAATCTATAGTTCTTGTTTTTATCAGGGTTCCAAGGTTTTATTTTTTTTAATAAGTCTATCGAAGATAGGAAGTTTTTATGAATTAGCCAATAATTATTATTGTATTTTTAATTCTCCTATCAATCCAGATGATTCCTCTTAGCTTAACTGAGCCCTAAGTAGAATCTTAGATCTTTTCTTGGACTATCTCTTAGATTTTTTCCCAATATTTTTCTGATTTTTTTTGAATAGGTTGTTTATTTATGGTTTGATTTTGCAATTTATTTTTTCTTTTAGCCTTCTTTTTCTTCAAATTGTTTAATCTTGTTATAGTATAAAGAATAATCTTATCTAATAATCAGAATATCTTCCTTATCCTTTAAGATGTAAGGATCTTCTAAAATCTGGTACATCTCTTTGCAATAATATATAACTCTATGTGGAATAAGAATATCTTCATCATATTATATGATGAAATGATGTGTAAGACCTATCATCATCCATATGTAAGGGTCTAATGAATGTAATTCCATTTTTTCATCAGCATATATGATCCTTTAATCATTAGTAATAATTTTTTTTAATTGGTTGATATATTTTAGTAATTTCTGATAAGGTAATTTTTTAAATAATTATTATGAACCTAATCTCTAATGACTCTCATAGTAGTATATATAACAAATGGATAAAATACATACTTTATTCACTATTAGTTCACTCTTAGACTTAGACCTTTTGCTATACAGATGCTCTCTAT